GGGGTCCCACTGCCCTGTCAGCCATGGCCTCCCACCCCTGCTGGAGCCCTGAGGCTGGCCAGAGAAGTTGCCCCATGTGGAGTTAGGCCTCGGGCAGCTGCTGTCAGCCACCACTGCTGCTGCCATCTTGGCACTGTGAGAGAGGCCAGGGTGGGTGTGACTGGAACTAATTCTTCAGTTCCACTCAGACTGGGCTATGACTCAGGAATAGGAATGGTCTCTCCTTTCAAGACCTGGTGGGGAACTCAATTTGGCCAGAGAGCACCGGTAGCTGGGGCAGGGCAATTTCCACTATGGCAATACCTGACAGGGAGCTTCACAAAAAGCAAATGAGATCCCTTTGAATTTTGGGGAATGCATCTATCAGGAATATTGGAAATATACAGATGTGGATCCAGAGGCCCCTGAAAATATATGTGTGGTTAATATGAATTTTATAGGGCAGAGTGCTCCAGATATATGGAGGAAACTACAGCGTGTGGGAGGGGCAACTGGCATGATTGTTGACATCACAGATTGTCGACATCACCTTTAAAGTATATAATGCTGGAGAAGAACAGAGAGTCCAGCACTCAGATGATAACGAAGGGGGCCCAGGGCTCTATGCCTCACTAGTGGCTCCAATCTAAATATTCCCACTGGAGCCCCGGGTCCGACTGATAGTGGGGACTCGATTAGTGGACTTTTTAATTGCCACAGGAGTGCCACCGCTGCCAAGCCGAGTGGGCGGAAGTCGTCCGGGGCCCCCATGGCAGCCGCCCCCACCCCCTGCCACCAGCCACCATGAAGGTGCTCCATGAGCCAGGCAGGGCATGGGGGCAAGGCAGCAGCAAGGCAGCTGTAGGTGAAGTGGTGGCTGAGGAACTCATCGCAGCGGGCCCAGGAGCTGGGCCAGGGGGAGTCACTACCAGAGTTGGTGCTGCTCCATCATAGAGTCTGGCAACCCTGACGTTCTCGGTGGCTTTGTTGGACCTGGGCAAGCAGCAGGAGCACTGGGAGCTGTTCTGAGGGTGCCTCCAAGCTGGCTCCTGCTGGCTTTGAATACCAGGGCCTGGGGAAGCACACAGGAGGCTGCCACTGCGGAGCAGTTCATTTTCAAGTTTGGGCCTCAGCAGACTTGCCCATCATTGGTTGAAAGAATAAGAAAGTTCTCTTTCTCCCGAGGTCTACCAAAAATTAAGGCTATATGGGCTAACGGGACCCCAGGACGTGCAGAAAGAATTTAAATTCCCCATACCAATGAGTATAGATTCGTGCAAGACCCATGTGCCATTAATGATATTGTACAAGTGATTATGAATGGTACTCAGTCGCATTTGAATGGCACGATCCTGAGACTAGGATGACCTCACAGTATTGCCGGACCATGCTGCCTCAGGGGTTTAAAAACTCTCCTTCCCTGTTTAGTGAGAGCTTAGAAAGGGACTTGCAGAACCTGCAGTTGGACCAAGGGCTTCTGTTATAGAGTATAACCCAACAATGTACAGATTTGCAAACAGCATGTTACTTATTTGGGATTCCAAATTAGCAAGGGAACTCTCAGACAACTGCAAGAGTTCTCAGGAATGGCAGAGTTACTGATGCTGGGAGACCTCCCCCTGTCGGTGGCGGATCAGTCAATGCCAGAACCAGACTGGGATCTTTTCCAGTTATCCAGAGGTAACTTTTATGGTTGTGCATGCTCATGGTGTCACTTGGAAGGACACGGGGCTCCCGATGGCAGGAAATAAGGATATTAAGTACACCACTGAAATAATGGCCCTGACACAGGCTGTGGCTGAGCCCAAGCAGGTGGCCATCATGCACTGTCCTGGTCACCAAAAAAGGAGGCCACTAAGGGTGATCTGTTCCTTGGGGCCTTGATACCCCAGTTAGATTTAGATCAATATAAACCCCACTACGCTAATGAGGATGAATAAAGAACTAGAGCTTGGGGTGTTGACACTTGGCTCGACACAGCGAAGTGGAGACAGAATTCTCACGGACTCATTCTTCTACCCTAAGCCTTGGTTCGGCCCCTTATGAAGCACCTACATGAATGCACACTCTATGGGCATGATGCCTTAATGGATTTGGTGGGACTTCATTTAAGAGGACCCCATTTGACAAATAATTCAGAGCTGCCTTTTACGTGCTTGTAACAATCCAAAGACAGAAAAGCCATCTGCTGCAGAGGGAACCCAACATGTGAGGACTCACCCTTTCAATAATTGACAAATTGATTTCACTCATATGGAAACTTCAAATACTTGCTTGTGTGAGTAGATACCTTTTCAGGCTGGGTAGAGGCTTATCCTACCCAAATGGAGAGAGCATCTGAAGTTACCAGAATCCATCTGAGGAAACTCATGCTGAAGTATAGACTCCCTTCCTCCATGTAGAGTGATAATGGACCCTTCTTTATATTGGTGGTAACTCAGCATGTAAGCAAAGCCCTACATCTAGAATGGAAATTGCATGTATCCTGGAGACCTCAATCTATAAGAAAAATGTAGAAAATGAATCATACTTTAAAGAAAACGATAGCAACATTGATGCAGGAAACCCATTTAAAGTGGGATAGAATGTTGCCACTTGCCCTCCTCCGGATAAGGGTAGCCCCTAGAAGCAGGCGAATGTTGAGCCCCCATGAAATAGTTTATGGGAGACCCTTCCTTGCACCCTGAGGTAAGTATGGTAGTATAACCACAAATGAAGAAAACAGAGTAAAGCAATATGTCAAATACTAACCACTATGAATAAGTTTGCCTCTTTCAGGTTTCCGCCAGTTGGAAGCAGAGGAGTGGAAGAGACCCTACAAAGTGCCTCTAACAACTCACACCTTGCTGAAATTGTCAGGAGTAAAACCCTGGGTCCATCATACCAGAGTAAAGAGGTACCCCATGGAAGAAAAGGACCCACACCCCTAGTGGATGAGCTAGACTTCAGGCAATCTAAAGTTCCCGTTTAAGAAGGAAAAATGAAAGTGTTGATATTTTTGCTAACCTTTCTTTGGTTATTTGTTCTGTCTACAGGATGGAGAGACAACTCCTTAGTGAGGATTTCCCAAACTATCACCTCTTCTGCTGCTCTGTCTCACTGCTGGGTTTGTCACCCTAAACCCCGTTCAGTGCAAAGTAATAAACAGAAGCTGGTCTCTCGGATCACCTACAGGGTGCGACTAATAGTTCTATACTCAGAGGTCCCATGTTTTTTCTTGCCCAGCCCTGTATCAGACATTGTGTACAAGGTGACAGCAAGGACACACAGTCCTAACGGTGTCTTAGAAAACAAGCGGGGTAAAATCTCTTACCAGGTATCCCCCATTTCACCTTGTCAATCCTCAAAGGAGTAGTTGTTGCTTATGCCCTTTTTCACCCAGTAATCTGTGGTATTCCTTAGTTTTGTAAATCTACTGCCAAAGCTTTGACAAACCAGAAAGATCAATGGCATAAAAAGTATAAATCTTCCATCTAAAACGTCACCCCAGTTTAGCAGGATGTAGCTTGATGACTATGTCGTTCCTCTTCCCATAGATACGGAAGGATAAAATCGACAGTAGGAATTATGTGACACAGGAAAGGCCTGAAAAAGGGTAAAATGTATCACAAGTTGCCTCTAAAGACCCCCAGGCCGCCCCAACACACACACTGTTTTTGGGGATTAAAATCTGCATTCCTGTCGAGGCCAATGGTCAGAGGGGCAGAGGAATGTTCTTTATTCTTTGTTTTCTAGTATCTTAAACCACAGGAAATGGCTCAACGGAATTGTCTGGGCAAAGGTGATGGGATCATCTTTACCAAAGATAAGGTCGACCAGTACCACCAACCATTAGCCAAAGCTGAAAACTCCCTCTAAAAGCTCTCTATTTCTGCTTACAGAGGGGACGATGGTTCCTTAAGACGAGACTTTGCCATCCTCCTCATTTGCTGGCAAATTAATAAACGTCTTTTCCTTTTTCTCAAACCACTTGTCCTCATTTTTCGTTCAGCCTTGGGGACAAGTATGGAACTTTGGGTAACAGTGGTAATATTCTTAAGCCCATATTTGGAACTTGAGATCATCATACTTGAAAAAGCAAAGCACAGTCTCTTGCTGATAATATCACAACTTACTTCCACTAGGAAAGTTTATGAAGCCAAAGGGGATACAGTTATATGCATGAGAAGCAATTTTCTTTGCCACAAACAAATATGATTAAATTTATTTTAATACAGTGCTGACTTTATTGTTTTTTAAGACCGAGACTGGAATTTTGTGGTTCCAATTTTTTTAAAAGATAATTCACACCCATCCCCCTCAAAGGGAGGTAGTGATTTTTTTTTTTTTCATTCCATACACTGGATTGTGATCCGTGTGTACCAGTTATTAACATTAGGGCTTCCTGACATGGAAGGTGGCTGTAATTGAGAGCCATGTAGTTAGTACGCTTGCTCAGCTTTAATTGAGTGATGCTTGATTAACGTCTTATATGATTTTCTTTGTCACTTTGGGTTCATGAAAATATGTCATTTTTCTTTTAGTAAATGTTAAATGTGTTCATTGTAGGAAATTTGAGAAATACTGAAAAATTAAAAAAAATAGAAAAGAAAAGCCACTTGTAATTCCACTCTGAGTGATAACTATTATAAAAATGTTGTGACAGTTTTTTCTAGTCTTATTTTCTATTTCTTTTTCTCGTTCTTCAAAATTCTAAGTTGGAAAAAAAATTCTAAGCTGGTACTAATTTATAAGAACAGTTTTGTATCATGTATTTTTATTTAATATTATGTAATGAACATTGTCCCATAAAATCCTACCAATAGATGTAGCTTCATTATTTACCCAATATCCTATCTTGGGATAGCTAGGTTGTTTAAAACTTTTCTTCATTAAAAAAATGCAACAATGAATATCATTGCTTATAAATCTTTGGGTACATTGTTGATGATTTCTTATGTTTGGATGTTGATGGACTAATAAAAAAAAGGAGGAAGGTTGCGTAGCATACAAAGTGAAGATACTTAAAGATTCTGTCATACCTGGCCGTAGCAACCTGCGTAATGAATGAGGCTCGGAAAATCTTTAGAACAACTCAATTCTGCAATGGCTTCCGTTTCGCTCACCAGCCAGCGTACACACTCCAACTGACCATTCTGGATTTTAAAAAAGAAAGAAAGAGAGAAAGAAATTGAAGGTAATTCAGGTTTGAAAAATACCTCAAAGATGGTGATTTTGCCAAGAAAAGAAATCATATGAATTTTGTCTTTTATATCTGGCTTAATTTATGTACACTATAAATATATCACCTAACTGTATTTTATTCTTGATCTGTGGTTTTGGCTCTCAATAAATTACAGAATTTTACTTAAATACATCTCATAATTTTTATCAGTTATTTAAAAATCACTTTATTAGGTTATAATTTGCATACTGTAAAACATACTCATTTTAAGTATACAGTTTGATGAATTTTTAACAAAGATAAACACTCCTGTAACTATAACTTCAAACAAGATATGGAACATTTCCATCATCCCCCAAAATTTTCTAGTATCCCTTGACTCTCATCTTCCCCACCTTTGCCCCAGACAGCCACCAATAAGATTTCTGTCGCAATGGATTAGAGCATGCACTCTTGTGCTGGCTTCTCTCATTCACCATGCCTTTGAAATGCAAACATGTTGCTGCTTATATCAGTAGTTTATTGCTTTTTTATCGCTGCAAAGTGTTGCACTGTATGACTACACCACCATTTGTTTATCCAATAACTGATAGATATTTGGGTTGTTTCCACTTGGGGGATGATGAAGTTGCTATGAATATTCTTTGTGAATATATACTTTTCTTTCTTCTGGGTAAATGCCTACACTGGAATTTCTGGGTCATATGGTAGCTGTATATTTGACTTAATAAAAAGTTATCAAACTGGTTTCCAAAGTGGTTGACCACTTTACACTAACACTAGCAGCATATGAGCATTCCATTATTAGTTGTTCCAAATCCAACACACGGTATTGTCAGTTAATTAGTTGTTATTCTTCAATTAAAGTTTATAAGATAGAGCAACTGATTTCCAAATCCCAAAGTATTATATTTGTTAATGAAAAATTAACAAATTCATATTTGAAATAAAAAATTTTATTAAGTGAGCAGATGAATATCTTAATCAGTAAAATATTTAAAAAATTAAAAAGGGAAATGTTATTTATCATTTACCATTTATAAATGATAAAACTATTGCTACAGAAAGTAAAATAGCCACAGTTTTACATTTTTTAGGGCACCAACCCTCTTGAACATTAGGATCAGAGGGACAGTAAAGTAAAAGTAGGCAGAAAAAAAGAGCAGGATTTTCTTGCAGTCCTTTGCAAAGGTCTTATAAATTTATGCCAGATATTTTCATAATTTTTAAGATTTAAACTTCTCTCCCTTCTTTAAATATTTATTGGGTTTTTATTCTCAGGAACTGTGAAAGTTCCAAAATATGATCAAAACATGTAAACTATTAAAATATAGTCCATACATATTATGGTAGAGAGTTTTCCCTACACTTATAATAGACTAATGTGATATATATTAATATAACCTAGTGATTAAAACCCAGACTCTGGAATGGATTTAAATCCTTAATCTGCCAGTTAGTTACAAGACCTCGGACAAGTTACTTTACCTCTCTGGTACTCAATTTTCTCATCTGTGAAATAGAGAGGATAATAGCAACTATCTCATAAAGTTACTGCGAAGACTAAGTGAGATAAAGCATGTAAATTCACTAAGCACACAATACTTGTTATCTTCTATTACTAGAATGCTCTCTTAGATTCTCACAATAACTCTTGTCAGACAAATGAGACATTCAACCGCCTTCCCACTTTGTACTGTGTGGAATTTTAGTGCAGGAGAGAAAAGCTACTGTGGGCAGGGAGCCAGAGAAGGCTTCAATGAGGGTAGCATTTGGACTAGTATAATAGGATTATTTTCTCTTTCTTTATTTTAGAATTCTAACATTTAATTTCTCAAGGGAAAAAGTCTATTCTAAAAGCAAGACAAGGAGGTAATCTTCTCATTCTTCATTTTATCCTATTCACATAATGGTACTCCCAACTATTCACATGCAGATTCTCCTCTCTTGAGGTATTAATATTTAACTTGAGAGGCTGGTGTATATGGGCTGGCTCCCTGGTCCCCTGGCTTCTGGCTGGTTTGGCTGATGGAGAGCAGTGGCAGGAGATCAGGAAAGGAGAGTGAATTTGAGGTCCTCTCTGCTCCTGGCTTCCCTTCTATGGGGTTGCTATTGGCCAGTGGAGTCCCTCCACCAGTCAAAGGGCAAAAGTCATCCAGTCCTTTCTACTCAGCTCTCTCTATCTCAGGTTCTTATAACCATTCCTTTCCCAGCCTCTTCAGGATTTGGGGAGTAACTGTGCCCAGGTTGTTACAGTCCCCAGGACAGTGCAATTTCCTTTGTGAACTGCCTTCCCCCCACCCATCCTTTTAAGTATAATCTCTTAATTGTAGACTTTCCTTAAATTTCATGATTTGAGCATGCCAAATGTTTCCTACCAGGATTAAAAACAACAGCAATAAAAACACTAATACAAGAAAGGAGTGAAAACCACATTGATTATCTACTAGGCAAGATGATTTATATAAACTGGTATTCACACAGAGCACAGAAATGTGAGGCAACATTTCTGATTTTTGTTATATATTTTCTCTCTTGGTTTTTTTTTTTTTTTTGGTCATTTTAACTAAATTAAAGGTTTATTATTTTTTTTATCTTTTCATAGAACCAAATTTTGTTTTGTTGATTTTCTCCATTATTTTTCTATTCTCTGTTTCATTTATTTTCCTTCTGATTTTTATTGTTTCTTTCCTTCTGCTTGCTTAGGATTTAGTTTGCTCTTCTTTTTCTAGTTTCCTAAGGTGAAAGCTAAGGCTATTGATTTGAAGTCTTTCTTCCTCCCCTTCTCCTCCTTTTAGTATAGTCATTTACAGCTATAACTCTCCCTCTAAATATTGCTTTAGCTGCATCCTGTAAGTGTTGGTATGCTGTATTTTCATTTTCATTCATCTCCAAATATTTTCTAATTTCCCTTGTGATTTCTTCTTTGACACATTGATTATTTTGGAGTATAATTCCACATACTTATGAAACATCACAAATTGCCATAGGTTATTGATTTCTAATTGCATTCTATTATGGTTAAAGGACATAACTGTGTACTTCAATCTTTTAAAATTTATTGAGACTTGTTTTATAGCCTAACATATGGTCTATCCTGGAGAATGTTCCATCTGCACCTGATAAGAATGTGTATTCTGCTGTTGTTGGATAGAGTGTTCTATTAGATGTCTGTTAGCTCTAGTTAGTCAAGGAGGCAACATTTAAAATAAATAAAATGCTGTTAGAAAGGCAGAAGGAAATATTATATCACTACTGTAAGTTTGAAACCAATATTCCTTGCCATAATTCTAAATACCAAGAAAACAAAAAAAAAAGTTATTAAATTCTAGCAGGAGATTTTTGCCTGTCAAAGTCTCTGAGCCTGGGGTCACTCACTTTATGTTAAAAAGTAATGTCAGTAAGTGTTTGAAGTCATGTTATCAACAGATCAACACTTCGCCATTGAGCTTAATTAGAAGGACTGAATGACAAATGAAAGGAAATTGAAGTTATTTCATTCCAAGTCTGTTTAGCTCCTAAAATAACTTCTCCTGCTGTCCCCGTTTTAGAAAACAGACTGCTCTCACCTTTTAGAAATCTTTCTTTCCAATTACTTTGCTTAACCATTTCTAAAGGGCACTCAATAATCCTCGGAACTCCCACAGTATCTACTCTTGGGTCCCCCAGAAGTACTCAATAAATTCTGTATGTAACTGGAAAATTTATTGTGTTCCATTTAAGGAGTTTAAGAGTGGGAGAGAGATGTTGTTAGCCCTGATATGACTTCAAAGCCCCTTTTCTCAGCTAATCTTTTTATTTGATACTTTATCTCTGACTCTGCTTCCTGTCAGCCAAGTCATATTATCTGAGCAACTTCTGCCCATTTGTACCAAGTTTGTTTGTCCTTAATGACAGCGGGGCTCTCAGAACTGTGCTTAATGAGGTGAAACACCACTAGGTGGTTACTGGTGTCAAAAACAAGATCCTAAAACAGAAGAATGATGACTTCTTTGGATTTGCTCAACTTCATCAATAGCCATCAAAATACACTGAATGGACTGAGGCAGGACATGTGTCAGGACAGATTTCTAAAGAGGGTGGCACCTGTTACAAAATGTTTATATTTACTGCTTTTGTAAATTCTAGATTAAATAAAGGAATAGAAGACCATTTCCATTTCTCAAATCACTGTCCAGAAGTAAAGTATCAAAAGCCTGAGACCCCAGATCTGTAACAGCTTTTGAGTTGTATGGGTTTGAAATCTTTTTCACTCAAACAAATTAAAAAAATATTTGCTATTCATTTGCACATTGATTGTATGATGACAATACTATGCTGACTGGAAGAGTTTAAGAATGAATTAACCCATAATATGGATATCATATGAGGTGTTCGTGCTGAAAGTTGGCTTAATGATCACTAAGTTTCTCAGATACCTTCCTACTCAGAAATTTTTAGTCTATCAAAACAAGTACTAGGATATATATAAATAAAGAAAAAAATATTTCCATCCAAGTATACAGTTAGGAGATATTCAGTAGTCCACCATTGGTCAGGAAGACTAATGAGAACTGTATTTTATAAACACTAAAAAAACAAGGCAAATCTCAACATTTATTGGCACTGCAAGAATATTTTATTAATCACAGATATAGGCCCATTAATGGCCATACTCAACCCCTATCTTCCCACAGGACTCTGTCACAGGACTATTTCCTACACTTGTGCTGCTGACAACCTACCTGCCTTATTCATCAGCTATCAGCTCCTTAAGAGTAGGGACTATGTCTTATTCAAATTGGTACTGCCAGTGCCTAATGTGGTACCTGGTAAACCGGGTACACGTTGAATTCAAGTACACTAAACCTTGACTTCACATTTGACTTCTCTTCCTTCATGATGACTTTCTGCAGCTTAGCTCTTAATTTGACATAGCATCATTCATAACCAAAGGAAAATTATATCAACCAGGGTTATAGATTTCTTATTTTATTAAAGAAAATGTTATTTTCTACATTATTTTTGAAGTCAGACCTTACTAATTACTTTGCTTAATTGAGCAAAATTAAATAAAATGAAAAATATTTTTAATATATAGAACTTTACTGAATGGTCAACAAATTAAAGGTATAAAAATTTAGGTTTGCATAAAGTCTTTATTAGGGGCAGAACAGCAACTGATTGTTTTTCAAATAGGTAACATGTTCTTTAGTGAATTCACAAGTAGGTTTCTTTAACTAACAAGTTCCCCTGATCAATTTCAATATAATTCTATTTATAAAAATTATGATTATTCAGCTTTTAGAAGACATGATTTTATAAAGCAAAGTACATATGCAGAAGCACAAGATGGATTATATTTCCCTGAACTTCACTTTTGGTTTTTTAATAAATATGACTGTATTTTACATTTATTTGTCAAAGATCTTAAAAGTAATTTTAGTTTAATAGCTAATCTTCTAGTGATGTATTACAGTTTGCAGAGGCACTTACTGCAGCGCTATAAAAGTCTGTATTTTTTTGTGTCACAGTTTCTAGGTTTTAACTCTATCCCTGTCAGTATTAATGTGTGTAGCTTTTGAGAGACTCTGTGCTTTCCAAGAGCTAGACTCAAACTCGGCACTGATACTCTAAACAACTCTTGATGCCGAAGACATTTAAACTTCAGATGTGACCCATTAAAGCCCACTGTATTATCTGAAATACTCCTGAGTGCCAGCGTCCCTTACCACACACCTTTTCCTCATTTGTTCATTATCCTCATGCTGGGAAAAAGGGAAACAGTCTCTCCTCAGTCCAGGTGTGGTAGAGAATCTAAATTGCAGTCCTCATGAATAACAAAAGTTCTTAGAACCACAACACATCATTTTCCCTCCTCTTTATTAGTTGATTTGAAGCTTACCCTCATTGGACAATAAATTGGAATGTAATCTCAAAATCTCAGAGCAGTTAGTGACTGAAATGATTGCTCCCTTAAATGTAATATGTTCACTTGCCGTTTGCTCCATAAATCACTTTCCTCTCTTTCCCTTCTAACGCTTTAGCTCACAAGGAATCTTCGAACACAGAAATCCCACTATTTCGGCCTGTGGAGGGCCCACCCCCACGCAGTCACCTTGATGGCCAGGCCGGCCGGGGTCAGCTTCTCGGCGTTGCGCTCGTTGAGGCAATCTTCTCCCATCAAAGAGGTGAGGTGCTGCAGGCATTCTGCGTGTCCCTGCGACGCAGCGATGTGTAACAGATTGTTCCCATTTTCATCATGAATCTTGTCTAGATTGTCCGCAGCTAGGTGTGGCTGTACAAATAGTGAGATTAGGAAGTTAAGTCAGTGAATTGGAACAAGATGTTGTGGCGGTTTTGCCCTGAGCACTGGGAAGAAGGAATGAGCTTACAGAAGCTCTGGTGGCAGCCGTGGGGATCTAATAAGTCAGGAGTTCCTTGCCGCTATTCTTTGTTTTAACATGCTTTAGAACATGAGTTCTCAAGAGGCAGATCTTCGACGCGAGACATGGTAACAGGGCTAAGGCCAATGAGCTGTGGGGGCACCAAGCTGGCTTTCTAAACAACTGTAATGGCATTTATGGTAACTGGCAGGTTTCCTGTCTGTCTCCCCCACTCGACTGTGAAGTCCTTGAGGGCTGAGCTGGGTTTTGTTCCCTGCTGTAGGTTTGTGGAATGAATGAACTAGTTGTCTCCACGTGCTTATTTCACCTTGAATTGTAGAGAACTGGCTTTGACTGCAAACTGTATGACGACTGCTACTCTGCTGCTACCAGTGCTCTTGTAGGTACCTCTGGACACTGTCATCACACAGACTCTGGGGGCTATCTGGAGGCTACCTGGCCTTTGGTTTTCCCCCCTCTAGCAAAGTTTAGTCTCCTGAGTATGAACTGATTGCTAGACACTGTTGGGTGAACCAAGAGGTGTTAGCATTTGGCAAACATGAAAACATGGGAAGGACAAAATAAAGGAATGAACCAAAGAGCATTAGAAGGGAAGAGCCAAGAAAATGGAAGAAACATTTTCAGAAGCAAAAAAAACCCAACTACTTTATTTGGTAAAATTGTTCAATTATATTGTCTTATCACAACAGTACTTGTGATAATAGACTGAGTACATTGTACGTATCTATGTATGGCTTTATGCTAAGTAGAATCATATTGACAAGATGCGAGGATTTTCTTGAATGAGACTTTAATTAACATCATAGTATGAGCCAAGGCTGGCTACTGTTTGATCCAAGTCTGGAAGCCAGAAAAGAACAATGCAGGCAGATGGAGTGCTATTTCAGTTTAGCTGTCTCTCAGCCTAAGGAGAACAGATTTTTCTTACATCATATTATTCTGTGTCTAGAGTCTTTGGAAAAGCTTCTTCATGCTCCCTAGACATGCAGAGCTGGAACTGAGTAAAAACTCCATGTGGGTCAGAGGGCAATCAAGCTCTTGGGTAAGTTTCTATCTGCAAATGCTTTTCAAACATCCTGGTCCAACTCTTCTGAATAATGATCAGGATAAAACAGAAGACCCTCTGTTCACATAGCTGGCGGGTCCACCATCAGTAAGGAACAGACAGCTCCACAAATAACTGAGTAAGAGCACTGGGAATCATTTTAAAAGCAAAAAGAAAGACATTAAAATTCAAGTTAAAGAAAGTGCTGGGCTCTCCCTGGTTTGTTTTCATTTTAGATTGAGTCTTTTTTTTTCCAGCTGAATTCATGCAAAGGTAAAATGAAATAATACTCCATCTATAGGCATTTGTTTTCCATATATTAACCGCCTTTTATTTTAAAACTCAAAAGGTCACATCTCCCAACTAAAGCCATCAGTAAAGATTAAATAAGAACCAAAACAAATGCATCATTGTCTGTTCCCAGCAAAGGGAGGTGATAAAAATAGAGTCTCTAGATTATTAGTATGTATGCTGAACTAGATCATACTTACCAGGAGAGATATCTGTCCTTCCTTAACGATGTTCAAGATACTTTTTACTTTTTTCACATACTCACTCCTTTCTTCTGGGACTTGGGAGCTGGTCCAGGCCAGGCCACTGACCTGCTCCTCCGGTGTGGGTTCTGCGGGTGCCGACTGCAGATGGAAGGCCCTGAGCTGGCAGTCTGGCATCGTTTTCTCAACTTTGCGACCATGCGGATCACTGAAGGTCTGGTTTTCAGGCTCATATGCAGAGCCACATTTAACCAGAGGAGGCGAACTCTGGGGTTCTTCAGTGGAGAGCTTGTGCGGGTCACGGATGACAGTTGATACTTTTCTCAAGTGAGGACTTTTCACGGGAGAAAGAACACAAAATGGTGCCATGCTGGATGGCGAGTTCTCGGCGCTTCCCGTAGAGCAGGCTTTGCCAGAAAGGCCATTGATGGTTGTGCATAAACCCAAAATTCTTTTTTCTGAAGTCACCTTGGTAAAAGAGGGAAGCTGTTGACTGGATTTAATGTAAGGCACATCCAGAATCTCATCCATGTCGAGGTCGTAATGTTCCAGTTCGCCCAGCGAAGTGCTGGGCTCGGAGCTCTTACCTGGAGGGCCACCCACTCCTTCCCCTGGGCCTGGCTCCTCGGGCTGGGGGCCTGGGCCAGACTCATCCCCTTTCTGGTACTCCACTTTCTGGTTCTTTTGGTCATCATTTTCATTGTTCTCCAGAGTCTCTGGCTGATGTTTCAGTGGGGAAACCCGCTTCACTGGGCGGAACTTACTGTATACATCAGCAATTCCTGTAGGCTTTTGCGTGTTTGTAATGAGAGTTGAGACGCCACAATTCCAGCTAGAGCTAGAAACTGTTTAAAAAAAATTAAATTGAAATGCTGAACACATCTTGGCTATGCAGGCAGACACAGTCCATTCAAATTATGCTCAAATTAAGCCCCTGTGTAGAGGTGACTTAGAACACATATCCATGAAATAATTCATACTTACCACTGGAAAACAATGAATGATAAAAGAAAGTTATGACATATTGATTCAAAATTAATTAAAGTAGTAGTAACGATAAAAGCAGACAGCTAAGGAAAACAAACCCAGATAGATATTTAGGTTTATTCCCTGGATAGATCTACCTCTGTGGCAACATTTGCCACTACCCTGAAGAATAGGATTAGAGGGTAAGATTCTTTGTGTTAAATGAACTTCCAAACTAATTTACGGATAAAAGGGATATATACATACACATGCACACATATGAGCATGTGTGTGTATACATGCACACCCCTAATGCCTAAGAATTTCCATATAAAGAGGGAGAAAATTATTTATTATTAAGCAAACTCAAACTGTGCCCCATTGGGTGACTCACTAGGTATCCCCTTAAGTGGATTAGGGAAGGAACAGAAAGGAATGAAGTGGTCAGGAGTTGAAAGGACCATGGGAGACAAGCCATGGCTGAGTTAACCCCACCTTGGACAAAGCATCCCAGTCAACCATCATGTAGAGGCATTTTACGGTGCTGTCTGACATATGACACAGCAACATAACGCACTAACACATAACAAAAGAGCGTGTTCTTTAATGCCTTCCATTGTTGAGAAAGTTGGAAACAAACAGGAGTAGAAAGTTGTAAAGAGAGGATGGGGTAGGCAGAGTAGTTTTTTTTTTTTTTTTTTAATCTCATTTCTGTGCAAAGTCTACATAAAGATTTTGTGTTCGTTTGCATTTGAGTAAGGGTCTGGATGAGATGGGCTGGAAAGTGAAACAGCCAGACACCTCTGCAGGGGAGAGATAAGAAGCACCACCTCTCCCAGTTAGCCTTGCATGAGTGGCTACCCGGTGCCTCCTCTTGGGCAGGCAGATGGAGCAGCAACAGTCTCCTGAGCCGTGACGATACTGCTTCTTCTCTGGGACCCTCCCCTGCCAGACAGCAGATGAGCCAGCACCCTTAGAAACTTGCCGGCCACTGATTGATAGATTCCTACTTCCCTGCCACCTAGTTCGCACCATCCCCCATCAAAGGAGTGAGATTTCAGAGCATGCCCTCCAACTAGGGACCTCCCATCTATCTCTCCTCTTCTGAAACAACAACAGGTGGGAAGTATTTAATTCAAAAGTATGTGTATGTGTGTGTCCTTTGCTATTGGGCACAAGCAAGGAATAAAAGAACATGAGATGAATGTGTACTCAGGTCTATAATTTCGGCGACAGCCTCTGGCTATGACTGATTCTTGGAGTGAAAGTGGGATAAATATTATTAAAGTTCCCTAAATTTAGGCTGTTGGTCATTCTTCTTCCTGCTAGGATATGCTCTAAAAGGAGTCAGAGAAATTCTGGAACTAAGTGAAGGGTTCTGAGCCTGGATGCCATATAACTGTCAGTGAGTTCTTTCCCCCAGATAGACCACAGTTTTGCCTGAGGTTTCAGAGGGTCTGCACTATGCAGTCCACGTCTGAGGCCGGCCTGGCTCTGGCATTTTGGTATCTAAGAAGAGAATCCTATGAGCTGTGGAAGGAGGGCTGGATTCTCTCCAATAAGCAACATATAACAGAGAATGTTCCAGAAGGGAAGAAAGGTATGTAGATGGTCTTCAGCTGCTGCTTTTCTTCCCTTTTGTTGGCTCTAGTCCTTCGTTGTACACAGTGCTTGGCACAGAGGCGACAATTAACAAATGCTAGTATGTGAATTTGAATCTCACTTTGCACGGCACATTAAATCTTTAAAAAGGTACAAAGTGCATCCTTCTGAGGGATTTACAGTTTAATTTCACAGGGGACAAAAGTCCTGTTAATAAACTCAGAGGAGGGATAATCACCAGTAAGGGCTAGATTTTCTTAGGTTATTTATGAAATGTAAATATGCAAAGGCAAAGACTAATTCCAGTTGGTCCCTTATAAATTTAAACATTTTCTGTCTTTTATATGTCCTTTTCTCTCTAAAAATGTAAAGCCATGAAAAATTAATGTCTGCCAGACATTTCTGCAAAGACTTTCTCTCTTCCTTTCAATAACACATGGTTACTTACTTATTTAAAACAGCAGAGAGATAGTGGACGTGGAGTTTATAAGGTGTAAATATGTCTTTAATTTTATTTATCAACTTTCTGAAAAGCTTTGAATATAGTGGGAAATATATATATATATATATTCGTAGACACTTCTGAGATACATATTATTAGGTATGATATTGCTAATATTTTGCCAGTTACCTTGATTTCTATGGAACTTCTAGAAAATGTGCATCTCAGAATGTAATAAAAAATTTTAAAGCCACATAACTTAGTAGGTCAATACAATGAGTGCATTGTACCAATATATTTATGTATTATTTAAGGTCGTAGGTTCAAAGGGCTACTCTTTTATGTTGGCTTTATTTACATGTGAAATTTTTTCCAAGTGATACAGGGAAATGGATACCATATGTTTCCCAGCTGTTTTGTTCTGACAGGAGCCATTAAGAACGCTCTATGGAAATGAATTCTGTCTGAATCTTAGGAAAACACTTCTTTCCACAGAAGGGTCTAGAAACTGAAGAAGGAGCATCAACATTTAGGCTTGTTGTCCTTCACCTTACTCAAATCTAAGACTCTTTTTGAGGCTGAGGGTGAAATCTGTGCTTTCTAGTCTATGTCTTGACTGCCAAGAAAAAAAAAAAATCCCAGTCATGAAAAATGGATTATTTAATGGGTCTTCGTGAAAATGCTCTAATTTATTGCTATATCATATACTTGGATGAGAAGGAGGGCAATTTTATGCTATACACAAAGACAAAATTCAATTAGTTTATTGCTCCTAAGTTTGGCAAAGGGTATTTTAAGAATAACACAGAAAAAGGGCTATTAATGATTGTAAAGATTTTTACTTCCAATTCTTTAAGTCTACTAAAAATTTCACTCATACTACTATTCTACCCCAACACTATACTAAATTTCTTATCATGCATGGAAACAAAGTTCAGACTAACTATGCTTACTAGGAAGATTTCTGAGGCTAAATTTGCTTTCTGGAAATCATGAATAAAGTCTTCACATGTTAACAAAATTTAAATCTCCCCAAATTTTATCTATCTTAGATCTTTACAAGCTCCATGAGAACAGGGTCTGTGACTGATTTATCTCTCTATCCCTCAAAGCACCCAGAAAATTGCTTTATGTAAGTAGGTTCTTAATGACTTTTTGATTGAATGGGTTCATTTTTAACATCTTAACGAAAGTAAACATGCCTAATATGCCTTAAATCTGTCTATCTGATTTTGTCACAAATTTTCTAAAGTGGTCAGCAGGTAATTGGACATGTAATTGACGCTGATCTATAGACCACAATTATCTCTTTCAATCTAGCTGGCACTTGGAATGCCTCTGAGCTTTAGCAGAGTATTTCCAACTGCCTGCTGACTCTCCCTGCCCGGCTATTCGATGAGCATTTCACGTGGGCATGGGGTGTGCAAGGATTCCTGACGGGCAGCATATTCCAATGCAGGGGACTCATCTCTCTCCAGCCTTGGTTACTTCCTCCCCTGCCCCTCTTCACCTAACACATCCCCACTCTACTCCTCTTCTCGAACACACTCCTCGTGGTCCTGGCCTGGATAACCACATCACCTCCTGCACTCTCCCGCGCAAGCCACCTCCAAGGCATCGAGGATCTTCTCTCTCCGTGACTGCTGCCCATCCCCTCTCAGGCACCAGATCCTGCTGTGGCCTTATCCTCAATCCCTCTTAAATCTGAGCCCTTTTCTTCATCCTCATTAAACTGACTGGGCCACACTGGGACTCTCTCCCACAGTCTCAGCAAGGTTTTCCCTGCTTCCCTTGGTCTCCTTTTCCCGTCCTCAGTTAACCCTCTTCGGACAAGTCTGATTTTGTCACTCAAAATCAGCTCAAATACCTCTGGTGGGGCCGGGAGCGGTGGCTCACGCCTGTAATCCTAGCACTCTGGGAGGCCGAGGCGGGTGGATCGCTCAAGGTCAGGAGTTCGAGACCAGCCTGAGCAAGAGCGAGACCCCGTCTCTACTAAAAAAATAGAAAGAAATTATTTGGACAACTAAAAATCTATATAGAAAAAATTAGCCGGGCATGGTGGCGCATGTCTGTAGTCCCAGCTACTCGGGAGGCTGAAGCAGTAGGATCACTTGAGCCCAGGAGTGTGAGGTTGCTGTGAGCTAGGCTGACGCCACGGCACTCACTAGAGCCAGGGCAACAAGAGTGAGACTCTGTCTCAAAAAAAAAAATACCTCTGGTGGCCCTGGACTGCCCGTATGTGGGATGCGTATCCCTGCAGTATCTAAGATGGCACAGAAACCATGCTTGCTAAAGACCCCTGATTAATAGAGTGAGAATGCTGTTCACCTATCAGTCCCCTTTCTTCCTCCTAATTAATTTAAGGAGTCTCACGTTGGTGCTAGAAGGAATTGGACTCCTCTCCAAAACTTACAATGCCCCAACAGAACAACGGGGCTGCAGGCCCCAGGCGCAGAGACTTTCGTAAGTAAAGAATTATTTGGAATGTTTTATACTTATCACATTCATCTTAATGATGACCTTGAATGTATTGCAAGTGACATTGGTTTTCTATATATTAGTCACATAAAGTTTCTTTTAAAAACAAGTATGTTTAAAAGTAAAATGTTTTAGAAAAGTAAATTAAATAAATAACAGTACAAGTGGTATAGAGGTAAAGCAAAAATAACAGAGGTAGACCTTGGATAGAACACATGCTGTGGAAATGATATTTTAGTTACTACGTTTGGGAAACCCTGGATTTTGGGATAATAGCTAAATTCTTTAGCATGGTATGTAGCAGTTCTTTTATTCATTTTTAAATTTACCTTTTCGTCTCAGCACTCATGTTTCCCA